AGAGAGAAGAGTAGGGGGAGTTTGATTGCATATAGAGATGAAAAGTCTAGTACTCTACTGATTTCAACGAAGTGCTGTCAGTGTTTGACACCGGTCGTTTTATCTAAAACTGAAGTGACATAAACCTATATACATAAATCAATGATAGAAAAGATCAAAGCCTACTTGAGAAAAACTCTTCCCTCTATTATCTTCTATCATAGAAGAACACACCATCACTTGCTACGTGATAAATTTTGTAGATTATTTATAAGATTCAAATATTGCATGTTCTTTGAATTAGTCTCATAAGATGTCAATGTGGCATTATTGATAGTTGGAGAATCTTAGTCTTTTGCAACCACACTTAAAAATCAAAATGCTAGCCATTACCAAAAAGAAACCCAGTAAACCAAATATTAGTTGATTTGAAGCAACAAGTTAAAGATACATCAGGTGAGCGTCTTCGCACTTGATTCTTGAAAATGACTCTGATGGCTGTTTGTAAAGCTCAAAAGTTGAAAAGTTCATGGTTCGCAGGGCTGTTTGTAGAGCCCAAGGTTGGTGTAGTAGAGGCCTGTTGTTAGATTGGCATTGCCGGAGGTGGGTAAAGGCAGAGGCAGCGGCGCTGGTGGATGGTGGTCATTGAGGTTGGCAGGGCTGGGGTGGAAGTGGTTTGGAGGAGAAAGAAGTATTTTTTAAAAAGTTAATCTATTTTAAAAATTATATTAAAAGGATTATTTTTATTGATATTAGGGCTCAAAAGTTGCCCTTATCAGCTATAATCCCTAATGTTTATCATCATCCCTTAAGTTATATATGGGTTGACCACGTTTAACTTGGACCTCAATAAGCTAAAATGATCAAAGTGCAATGGCTTGTTATGTCCATTGGCAAGCTAACTGTATTGAGTGGATGAATTCAACATAAAGTATCTTCTTGTTGACATAGTTTCGAGCAAAGTGAACATCAATTTCTATATGTTTAGAATGAGAGTGGAGAATTATATTTGCAGCAAGAAAGGTGGCATTGAGGTTGTCACAAAGTAACGTAGGGGCATAGCAAAGAGGAAAATCAATTTCCATGAGAAGAGGCTGAATTCATAAGGTCTCGGAAGTAGTAGTGGCCATAACTCTGTACTCGCTCTCAATAATTGAGTGAGAGATAGCCTTTTGTCACCAACTTAGTTAGCATCGAACAAAAGTGGTAAGTGTGTCAACAAAGGAGAGAGTGATACAAATAATGAAATGCATTGTGGATTTCAAGTAGCATAACACACACTTCACATCAATCTAATGAGACATTGTGAGAGAGTGCATGCGTTGATAGGTTTTGTCCATAGAAAGGGCTATATCTATCCTTGTGAGAGAAAGGTATTGAAGAGCACTAACATTCTAACGGTAGAACATAGAACCAGCCATAAGTGTATCATTATTGTAGGAAATTAAAGAACTTGTAGCAATTGTGCGAGCTGTTGGTTTGGTGGTATGCACACCCACCATTGTCAATAAATCAGTGATGTACTTATGTTGGAAAAAAATAGATTGGAGGTGAGCCAAGTGGCTTCAATGCCAAGAAAAAAATGAGGAGGACCAAAGTCCTTAATTGCAAACTTGTTGCTAATTATGTGGATGAGAGAGGAGATGTGCTCAATAGAAGAGCTAGTGATGACAATGTCATCTACATATATAGCACAAAAAGTGAAATGCCATGAGAGTTCTTGTGAAAGAGAGAACGATCAGCTTATGAGAAGGAGAAATTGCACTGTCGTAAAAAGTCGACCGATGAGTGGTGAAGGAGGTATGCATGATTAGGAAAGTTCTTATCCTTAAAACTAGGTGATTGTTGCATGTAAACAATCTCATCTAAATCACCATGTAAAAACACATTCTGGACATTAATTTGATTCAACAACCATCCTTTGGAAATAGCAATAGAGAGTAGTAACTTAATTGTAATTGGTTTCACAATAGGACTAAAAGTGGCATGATAGTCAACACCTTCCAGTTGTGAGCAACCCTTGGCTATAAGTTGTTCTTTGCATCTTGTAATGGAACAATCAAGACCTCTCTTGAGGCAAAAAAACCCATAGGCAAAAAACCTATTTACACCTAATGGCATTACAATTAGAAGGCTTTGAAACAAGTTGCCATGTATTGTTGGGCAAAAGTGCATTGCATTCTTCTTACATAATACTATGCCATGAAGGATCTGAGAGAGCCTAGGTAATGAATGTGGGTTCGGATAAAGGGTTTAATTAGGGGTATTTTATAGTGGCTAAGTCTTTTGGTTTGAAGATACCACTTTTGACATAGGTAATTATAGGATGAGTGTTTGTAAGAGGAGGTTTGGAAGGAGGGAGAGGTATAAGGGGAGGAGAGATTTTAATTTGAGTAGGTATAAGTGGAGGAGAAGTTTCAAGTTGAATAGGAGGTGTAATATCAGTTTTAGATCAATGTGAGAGAGGGGTATCATCGGGATGCAAGGGTCCAATGGGTTCAAACAATACTATACGAGTGGGTGGTGGATTTAGAGAAAGTTGGTTATGGAATTTTGGCAAGACAATGGTTTGAATGGGAAGAGAAGGTTGTTGGGTGATGAATAGACCTATTCATGGGCTTCGGGCCTAGCTTTCCACTATGTTGGGCTTGGTCTTCGAGTCGAGCCTATTCAAATTTTGGCAAAAGCCAAGCCCGAGCCTGGCCCATGAACATGTTTGGTGATGAATGATTTTGTATGGGTATGATGTAGGTGAGAAACGATGAGAATTCCTTGCCACTATGGATTGCTGAAACAATGTGTGAACCACATTGCTTCAAGATGGACCGAAAAAGATGAGAACTCCTTGCCACTATCACTTTGAATTGATTTGATCTTATGACCAATTGTATTGTCAACATTTCCTTCAAATTTCACAAAGATAGGAAGTGCATCATACTTTTGTTTCATAGGGAAAGCTCAAAGAAATTTACTATAGACATCGACAAAAATTGATATAGTATCTAAACTAGTGCTAGAAGAAAAGGGGTGCTTATGACTTCTCCCCACAGGACAAATATTTTAAAAAGACATAGGCCCCGTTTGGTGTGTCTTTTCATGCGGGCTGTCAGCTTTTTAGAAGACCGACAACTCGTGTTTTGGTCTTTTCCCATTTGGTTGGGAAAAGATCTAGCTGTCGAAAGCCATAGCCCCGAAAAGACGTGGGAAACCCATTTTAGGCTATTTTAGTGAAGCTCCAAATGGAGATTTTTTCGCACGAAAAGACGTGCAAACAGACGTACCTTAACCAAACGATCTTCAAACTGTTAAGATCTTGATGCAAAAGCTCACATCATCTTTTGACTGTTAGAACTTCGGAAAGATCTTTCAAAAAAGACTTGCGAAAGGGTCTCATAATCTTGCTTAGTGATGAGAAGTATCTTATTTGTTGATGCCAAACAGGGCTGTTCATAAGAATGCCCAACCCGACCAAACCGACCAACTCGGACCGACCCAACCCGAGTCGGCCGGGTTTTCATCAGTATCGGTCAGTTTCGGGTTGGGCAAATATAGAAACCGATATATTGGGTCGATTTCGATTTTCTTGTGTGAAAACCGAAACCAACCCGACCCGAACCGAACTAGTCTTCTACTAGTTCGGTAGTTCCTAGTTTGAGTAATTTCCTACTTAACTATAATTATTCTACTAGAACTATAAGGCCCATTAGGCAATTACAATTAGAATAGGCAATCTATCATAGTTTCTAACTTTCTATAATCTTTTACACCAAATAGGCAACCCATTAGGCAATTACAATTAGAATTCAATTAAGTGTCATTTTGTACAGGAGCAAAACCCAAACCGACCCAACCCGACTCAAACCGACCAGGTCGGTTTGGCCTATCAGTGGGTCGGTTTCGGTTTCCACCTCAGGTAACCCGACCAGGTCGGGTCGGTTGGGAAAACCCCAATAAACCAACCCAACCCGACTCGTGAACACCCCTAATGCCAAATATCAAAGGTCGTGCACTCTCTCATAAATGCCAAGTATGGTGTGGAACATGCATCATCCAACTGGACTGAATTGAGGTAACCAATTTGCATCAACGACGGAGGTGGAGGCCATGTTGGCAAAATTTCCCGATTTTCTCACAATCTTTGTGATAGTAGTTGTCTCTTGTTGTGTGATTTTTTCTTTTGCATATTTGGCTTGGGCCAAGATTGTTATTAGAGTATGATTTCATGTTACTGTTACTATTATTGGCTATAGTTTAGTTGTTGCTCTGTCCGCCTTGGTTTTGCTTAGGTTAGATTTCTCGACCTCTGTTCTTATTATAATAAGATCTTTTCTGTTGCCCGCGTTGATAGCCTTGGAGGTCTATCATAAATAAGGCTTACAACTTCCAAGTGCCCCCACCCTCCCAATTCAATGGATTTATATCATTTATGCTCCAGCCCTTGGTTCGTTAATGCTCACATAGCAAATTGAAGCCTATTAGCCTCTTGCCACGTGGTAAAGATAAATCATCTTTATGGTCATATATATATTTTTTCTAATAAAAATTTGGAATTCTGATTGCGGGTGCTAGAATTGGGCTAAGCCAGTCAACCAAAGCCCACTGAGCAGTATTAAACACCAACTGATTTGGCTGATGGGTGCCTATAAGGCTGGTCCAACAAAAAAGCTGTGCTTTCAAGTGCATATGGGTCAGGGTGTGCCATGAACACTGTGGAGTGGGTTTGGAGTACCAGATCCAGATGGGGCCAGGGCTTAGGCCCTAGGGTGTTGTCGGATTTTATTTCACACTGGGCCTCACAAATGTTGGGGCTCATAAATGGGCCAAAGCCTAGTAGGAGATGGTGTTCTGTCAACCCTCAGGCCTCAGGAGATTCAGGACAGCTAACAGTACCAGAGGCCCAGAGCTCTGTGTAGGCACAAATCATAATTTTCCGTAGACAAGAGCTCGTTTTTGTAATTATTATTGTAGAAGGCCTCATTTTGTAATTTTCTTTCTTTTCTACCACCAACTGCAAGAGCACAGCTTGGTACTCTCCGACGACCTCCACATCCATTCTCTCTCTTTCTATTCCTCTGCATAAACTCTTTAAAAGATTTTTCCGAAACCCTCCCTTTCATCTGTATAAAACCCTAGAAAGCAACGGGAGAGAGGGCGAGGATCTTCGTTTTTCCAAGATTTCTGTAGCAGACCCAGTCAAGATCTCTTCGAGATCAGGCCATGGAACCTTACCCCAAAAGAACCCGTTCCGAAAACGGTGGGTTTGGATTGAATTCTAGGGGTGGTGAGCAGAAAGAATGGGGATATCCCCAGCAAGGTAATGGAGGCGGGGATCTTGAATGCAGGCGGTTCAATACGCCCGAAGGTTGCCCGTATGGATCGGCTTGCAGATTCCGACATGTTACAGCTGGTAGATCGTTGTTTTACTCATTTCTTCAATCTCTATGTTTTTTTTTTCCCTTTCTTTGGGGTTTTGAGATTTTATCTGGTTTTAGCTGGCGGTTGAACTTAGAATTCAATTACGGAATTAGAATTTGAACTCTACCTGATAGGGTTGATACTGATGGATTTGATCGTACGATGGGCCTCATTATATATACCATCTATGTTTTTTATGGTATGAAGAGATAAGTTGTCTTTTTAATGGTTTGACTTTAGTTGGCACTTGATGATTGTGGTGTTTTCGGGTTTATTTAGGATCATTAATTTGATGCCCCATTTGATTCAGTTTATTTTGTTGCTGAGAATTTGTTTTTCTTCATTTTTGACCACTCATAATCCGTTTATCAGAATTTAGACTGTTATGCTTTATGATACAGATGTTGTTAAGGGCCATGTATCTGATTATCTACTTACATAGTCTCTTCTAGTAAAGTCAGAGACTGTTCAACAATGCCATATAGACAAAAGAGTAATTCCTTCTGTCCAAATGTTGATTCTTTCCTGGGAAGGAGTTATTATTAGCCATGTAATTTTGTCTAGGGCCTGACTGACCCATATCGATGATCCAACTCTGAAGTCCCACTTTTAATGATTTTTAAATTCTGCTAATACAGGCTTTCAATAGTTATTGGAGAGATTCATATTTCCATGGTTCTGCTTGTAATACTGGACAATAATGATAAACCACATCAATTTTGTATTATGTGGATGCTGGCAGTTGGTTGCCTACATTGTTACAAGCAACTGAAACGATGTAACGGGTACTAATTGTCTCAGTACTGTAATTTTGATGAGTATAGGATTCAGAATTTCAGGGTCTAATGGGTGACTATTCAAATAAATAATGTCATGGCAATTGCAAAATGTTAAGGCAGTTTTTTATTGGTAATCTAAAATTCTCTTGAAAATCACTGTGGAGAAATATAAGTTTTCATTCCATTTGCATTCTATTGAGCTTCATGGAAAGGAAGTATCTTTAAAGCTGATATGGTAAACTTGGAGGGTTTGGATCCTACAGTTAATGGCTTCTGACGAGCTTAGTATCTACTGAAGGAGTTCAATGTTGTGAACTTTATTAGAATTGCCCTTTTTTACAATCGTGATTCCCTCATTTATGGAGTTCCTTTCGTGTTGAATTTACCCCTTTTCTTTTCTTTTGCTTTCTTTCTTTCTTTTTGGTTTGGTTTTGTTCACAGGTCCTTTATTGTTGCTTGATCTATGTACTATTCACTTTTTATGTGCAATTTTCTTTTGGAACCTGTCCATTCATTTTTTTTTTAATTGTTAAGGATAAAGGAAAAATATATTTATTTTTCTTCTCCCCACCCACCTTTTCCCTTGTCTGCTGTTCCTTCCCCTCTTGTTGGTTGTGGATCCATGTATTGTCTGCTTTGCTACTCCCCAATCTGTAGCCCCATGAAGGAAAAAAAATATCCCCTTCTTGACTCTTGAGTGGTGCCATCATCAAAATCAATTATTTTTTCATGCATTTTTGGCAAGCAAATTCTAAACCTATTACTACCATACTTTTGCCCTTTTTTGTTTCTTAGGCCATCCTGAAACGTCTGCTGAAAGCATTATCCAAACTGGACTGTGATTGAATCTTTTCTCATTTAAAAAGCAGAGATGGAATTCTTTGGTACTGGAGCTGGTTTTGGGCCTTTTGAGAAATGACTATGTATTCCTTATTAACCACAATTGTTGGTTTAGTCCTGATATTTAGAATGACAACTTTTGAGCCAAAAAGGTGGGATGGGATTGTCTGGTTATAAGAAGAAATTTGAAAGCTATTGGTACCAATCCAGGAGATCAGAAGGAGCTTTTATTGTGATTCATATACTGCTGGATGATATCTTCAATCACTTAATTGGTTAATTGGTTATTACAAAACTTGGCTAAGCATATATGGAGTATGAATGAAATAAGGTTGCCCATGCATTTTTTATTGGAACTTGATTTTCAAATGACATCATTGTCGATTTCAATAGGCCTCCATCATAGTTCATGGCCTATTTTTCTTCCTCTTCTCCATTAGTTTAAGGAGCTACCTTCTTGCTTCAAAAAGAAAGTAGGATATGCATGGCATATCTGCCACCTAGTTTTTTTTCCTTTCTCTTTCTCTTTGAGAAAAGGTACTTGTATTCATATATTCAAAAAAGGTGGGAGGGATGTGCATGAGAAGATGTACAAGATAGGGCCTTGAAATATATATACAAAAAGTCTCTTTCCAACCCAAATTTGATTAAAGCCATCAGAAATCTGATTCAACAACTCCTGGAATCCATCTAAAGCTGCAGTTTATAAGAGATGATATCTCCTGGAGAAGGTGGGAGAGAGCTTCCAAGGGGTGTTCTCTTATTGTTGAACAAAAGGTTAGGAATGAAGTGGATACTGTGGTGTGTTCCAAAGCTTTGGGGTTTAAAATGTAAAATTTTGTCAGATGATGGAATTTTATTCCTTTTTTTTTTGTGTGTGTGTGTGGGGGGGGGTGTTCTATATTGTGGCTACAAAAAGTATGGTTTGTTCCAGGGTACTAGGTCCCACTGTGGTGTGTTTGAAATGGTAGTTTTGGAACTTACCACACCTTTGGTAATTTTCTGTACTGAGGTGGTGTGGTGTGTTCCAAAGCATTGGGATTTAAAATGTAACATTTTTGTCAAAATATGCTAAATCAATGTTTATTGAATGTCCCAAAGTGTGGTTCTGTTCTGGAACACAAGATTTAGTGTATTTCAAAATCTATGATATTTTGTGTAAAAGAACCAAACTTAGCCAGTTCCAGAACACCACGGGTTAAAAGACATGTGTTTGGCGTGGTGCATTCCAGAAAGAAACAAAATGGGTATCTACCACAGTACCAAACACCACTTTGGTGGATGAAGATGGGTTTTAATGGTATTGGGCTAGCAGAATTTTATCAACAAGGTAGTTCTTGTCACATATATAAATTTGCTAAGGACATGATACTGTGCTTGCATCTTTTTGTAATGTTTGTAATCTTTCATAGGATTCAATTTTTTTGTTTCCCATTATCTCTCAATTAAATATGTACTTGGCTTGGCATCCCATGAAGTAATTTTGTTAGGATTCTTTTTGTAATGTTTCTGATTTTTGTTAGATTGGTTATCAATTGAAAAGATACTTTGTTTCTTTACAAAAAATTTCATGTCTGATACATGTTAGAGTTCTTATGTGGATAAGTCTATCTGTATTCGTTTTGGATAGTACATTCGTTCTAATGAGTGTTTAAGAAATTTTCTTTCAAAATTCTATGCATGTATAACTTATCATGCACTTTGAGATTTTGGACTGTAATCTGGAAACTATTCCTTGACAGAAATTGTATAAAGATATGTTTGGTTTGATAGAGAATAAGAGAAAAACAGAAATTTAAGGGATAGTTTCTTATGTAACTTTGTATGCCAACGGGGATAATGTGTATGATTGGTGCCAACTCTCATTAAGATAAAATCATTTTCTTCCTCAAGTTTTCTTTGGTCGTTCTGTTTTATATTTTGCTAATGTTATGGCAGATGGCCGAGATGTGGGACAACAGGGCCTTTCTTCTGGAGGGAAACCAAAACCCTGTATGAAGTTTTTCAGGTTTGCTCTTGTGTTTTAAGTAGTCAGTTGTCATCTACTGCTGACCTGTGAAAACCATAAATGAACCTATTGGACATCCCTCCTCATAAATAAATGGGCTTAAAAGGAAAAGGGATAGCTGAGCTTGAAAGTTCTTGAACCAGACCAGTATTTTGTCTTTCAGGTCTGGCACTGCTATCAGGGCAGCAGTTTCACTCTCACATCAGCTTTCGATGGGTTGGAAGTGAAAAATTGCTGCAGCCAAGTCCTCAGGTACATCTTAAAGAGGAGGAATATGAATAGATGTTTCATCTGACCAGGATAGTTAATTTCTATGGATTTAAAGGGTTTATCTCTACTTCAGAAGAAATTAGTTTAAGATCAACCATATAAACCACAAAGCAATTTATAGAAATCTCTATTACAATTGTCCTTTTCTTCTTTTCTTTTTTTTTTTTCTGATTGATAAATTTTCTTTTCCTTGTTTGGGCAGGGTTTATATTTCCATAGATAATACAAAGGTTACCCATCTGATAGATATCGAAGGTTGCCTTCCAAAGTAATGGACACATTGCACATGCATGTGTGGGGCCCCACCTTAGAATTCTCTATGCCCAAAAGGTTTACCACGTTGCATGATGGTGACCTTCTAATAAGTTGCATTATTTTGCACTATAAGAAAATGCCACAATTGGTTGATTAAAGAGTTATGACTAACTTTCTTGCATGTTGGGTTTATTATATTTATTACTTCTTTCATCTCCTGGACAGTACTTCTGGTTGCCCATTTGGAGAATCATGCCACTTTCTGCACTATGTACCTGGAGGTCTCAGTTCCTTGGGTCTAGCTCCCGTGATGTCCCTTTCAGCTGCTTCGGCTGCTGTCTCTCAGAGGAAATCTGGTGGACCAGTGGGGGATCCAAGTGTCACTGTAAGTGGCTACAAGACGAAGCTTTGCAACAAGTTCAACACCCCAGAAGGTTGCCGTTTTGGTGATAAGTGCCATTTTGCTCATGGAGAGAGTGACCTGCGGCTACCAAACAATCAATCTCGGGGGAATGTCCGAAGAGCTCCAGTAGAAGGACCGCGGGGTTTGGGCCCTTCTGGATTTAGTAACAGTGGAACTGACTTCTCAAACCTAGCAGCATACGGAAATGCCTCGAACTTTAATTCTCAAGGATATGGTGAACCAAATCCACCTGGTGTTCCGGCTAACGATGGTTCTGCTACTTATGAAACTGGATCCATTGGTGAAAATGTACAAGTATATTAATAAAGGGATAGGATAAGGTGGTACTCAGAGTTGTTGGCAAATCTTGCATAGTAGTGATTCGAGCAGATGATGATTGGCCATACCAACATCTGGTGAAGCTCAAATGTCAAAGTTTGCTAAAATTTTCTCCTGATATGATTAGAATATGTCTACTTTAGCTACCCCAAGAGAAATTTGGAACAATATTACTTCGGCGGATGTAAGGACTTGGTCCTAGTCATTCCTGAACTAGGCCCAAGTCTGTGTGTCCATTGATGATTTTTCTTAGTTCTGGTAATGAAATACATGTAGCAGAGATTAATTTCTATTTTTTCTTTATTAGTTCTGATACGTTTACTTTTAACTTTCAGATAATTGAACTTAAGTTATCAAGATCAGCATTATTGGATTTAATTGTTTATTTCGGAAGTTTAACTCGGACTGTCAGACTGTAAATCTGTAATGGTTCGGTTTCCTACAAAACTGTGTATGCAATCTGTGCTTGTTTCTTATTGCTATCCTCTTTCCTGATTCTATTGTTATTGTCAATATAGATCGAGAATATGATTGGTGGCAAGGTTCAAGATATTGATACGCCCGATATGCCGGTAGGGGCGTATCGGGCAATCAATACACATTTTGGTTGCTTTTTATTTTTTTATTTTTTTTGCAACCGGTTCAGGGGGGCCGGTTTAGGTCTCCTCTACCCCCTGAACCGGTCTGACTTGTAGGGGCATATCGGAGGGGTCCCGGAATGATACGTATCGGCCGATACTTTGATCTTGATTGGTGGTGTTGCTCAGTTTGATCTTACCATAAGTAATCATATTATATAATGCTGTGATTGATCAAGAATAAAAGATGGTTTATTCTTTTTTTTTTCTAAAAAAAAAGAACAAAAAAATGGGTTAGAAATTTCATGTCTTTTTTGCTATGTTCTCTTGAGAGATCTATAGCCGGAAAATTCTGAGATGCTTCCAGTGAGCAGCATTACTAAGGCTGTCAATGGGTCAGGCCTACCCGATAGACCTGAACCGTCCAAACCGTATTTATCGGTTCTGGTTCTATGATTCATTCCTATGGGTTGGTTTTGGTTTTATTTTATATGTCATGATTAATATCGGTTTAGGACTGGTTTTGACCGTTCTGAACCAATTAGAGCCGAACCAAGGTTCAAAGTATCGATGCAGGCTGATATGCCGGTGGGGTGTATTGGCTTGTATCGGTACTTTTTTTAGGTTTTATTTATTTATTTTTTGAAACCGGTTCAAAAGAGTCGGTTTAAGGCCCGACTACCCTTTGAACCATGGTCTGACCTGATACAACCCCTGGAGGGATGTATCAAGAAGCCATCAGCACGATACGTATTAACTGGTATCGGCCGATATGTATCGATACTTTGAAGTTTGAACCTTGATATATACATTTTTTAGAGTTACATGTATGCCTAAAATTGTAATTTTACTTTTAACACCTAAATCACTCGAGCTCAAAACTTTTTGCCTTTACCCTTTTGTTTTGATTTTGCCACTAGAGGCTTCAGCTTCTAAAGTTCTACTCCTCACTTTTTCTTTCTCTAAGAAAGTTTCTCATCACCGTCTCTGTGTCTCACCGATTCTCAGACCTCACCTCACCTATTCTCAGTCACCACCATCTCTTACACACCAAGCTCTACCATGGACAAAGAAAAAGAGAAGATGGGGTAAAAGAAAAAAAGATTATCACAGTTTAAATGTCACCCATGTGAACCTGGGACTGGGAGTACCAGATAAATGGACGGCTAGAAAGTGGGCTCTAGCTTAATTTCTGTATATTTCAATTCTTGAATAAGGAGGCAGTCTGATTTCAAGATCACTCGATATATGCAGGTTTGCCTAATTTTTTCCCATTAGCTTCAATTTAATTGCTATTATTTGATTTTTATTAAGGTTAAATTGAAATTATATAGGATTGTAGGCTGTTTACAGATTGATTTTTTGCAAGATTATGCAAGTATAACAGGAATTTTTTGGACAAATATCCTACTGATACAGGTCTAACCATCTCAAGTATGGGTTTTTATTTAATTGGGTCCAATCGGGTTAGACCCGATTGTTCCAATTGGCCCATCGGTTTGGTACCGGTTGTGAAATAAAAGAACCGATCGGGTCTGGTTCAGTTCCAGTACTGTCGGTTTTAGCAATCGGTTCAAAATAGTTCTACCCTGTCCCAAACCAGGCCCGGACCGTTGACAGCCCTAAGCATTACCAAGGCTTTGCCCAAAAGATTGGCTACAGAAGACACTCAGCCGTCTTAATGGCAAGGAGAGTTGATCAGATGCTGTTGATTGATTTTTGAGCTAAATCCCTTGGGATCCATTAAATGTTTAACCTACTACTGTTTTACGGTTGCATCTCATGCTTGGACGCTAGCAAAAGAAGCTCATTATAGGAAGATTTTATTGAAGGATGCAGTTTCTTGTGAGCAAGTAAATGGAAGGGCTGCATGTGAGGTTTACATCTGTTGTTAATAAGCAAGGTTTCCTAACCATTAGACAATATATTCTTTGGACTGGTTACAAAATACAATGTTAATAAAGGGATAGAATCCAACCCCACAACCCTACAAATAGTTCTTGTTAAATCATCTCTCTACACCTATCCCCTCCCATCATCTCACCTCAACAGATATTGTACATGTATATCCATGAAAATCTCATGGATACATCTTAATAAAGCATACCCTTCAGCTTCTCCACCATGACAAACACCAGGAGTATACATGAGAAATGTTACACTTTCAAAACACAGTTGGATTTTCCTTCTTGGCATTGGTCAATTACCAATCAAACAAATACATCACGTCGCTTCTTTGGGTTGGCTTCTGGGTTCCCTTTCCTCATCATTGCTACAAACTCGTCGTAGTTGATTCTTCCATCCTGTAATATTTGGATATGGTCATAAGCATTAGCAAATTCTGTGTGTTGTCATGGCCCTTGTTTTGTTTACAAACAAGTGAGCTTTATTTGTCTTTGATGCTTACATCTAAATCTAATTAGCTTATTTTTTTTTTTCCAATTTCTCAAAAAAACATATGTGCAGTATTTCATTTTCTTTTCTTTTTATACTTACATTATCACTGTCGACTTCTGAAAGTATTTCCTTTATGTCCCTTCCATCATGCATTCCGAACTCTCTTAGAGCCTGCTCTAGCTCTTCTGTTGTAATGTACCTGGTAGAAGTAAAAGAAATGCAATGGAATGGAAGTAAATGACATGGTAATGACACCAAAAGCCAGTTAATATTTCTTCCTGCTGATTTATAGATTTTGAGTATTGCCTCACTGTAGTTACATACCCGCTATTATCTTTATCAAAGTACTGGAATGCAGTATAAAGATGCTCTTCTCTGTCCATTCTGTTCATGTGCATTGTTGCAGTGATGAACTCATCATAGTCTATGGTTCCATTGCCATCTGCATCAGCCTATTTTGGAAATAAAAAAATAAAGCAGCAAGAAGAACCAATTTAATAATTTAGATGGTTTTGAATCAACCAATGTTGTGAGATTATGCAGTACATTTTTTATAAGTTTGGGAACTTACAGCTTCCATTAACTGTTTAACTTCGTACTCTGATAACTTTGTTCCTTGCTTGGAGAGTCCTTGTTTCAGCTCTTCAAGAGTTATGGTGCCACTGTTGTCAGTATCCATGCTCTTGAACATTTGCTTTAGTCCCATGATTTCTTCCTCTGATAGACAGCCTGCAATTATCTATCCACATGAAGGGAAAGAAAACAAGTCAGACAGCATTCAAGATTTAGGAATTTAACTTAAGAGTGACATATCAAAATAGTCAATGCTTTTAAGCTGCTAAATTTATTATAACATTCATTCCGGGGTGAATAGTGAGACAATGCCATGTTTCTCATTCTCAAGACACCATAACATATTAATGCCTGTCTTAAAATACTAGGTGGCCTGGACAATCCAGTTGAGACTTGAGAGGGATAATTGTAGTTCTACCATTGCTTGGTGCAATGGTAAAACCTTTGGCAAGTGTGAGAAGACAGGTTCAAGTCTGTGAGCAGCCACTTCGTGCAAAGAATGTTGGAGGTTAGGTGTATTCTAACCACCTCTCCCAAGACTCCAGATAGTCGGGACCGACATTGCATAATCACCCTTTGACATCAGACAAGTATATATCATTCACTAGACTATTGCCTTAAATTTGATTGTCAAAATTGCATATTCATTAGGCACTTGGTTTATTTGATTGGCTAGTTTATTCAGAAAGATCTCATAGGTTAAACTCATATGGGGTTGTCCAATATATACATCCTACTTTCAAGGGCAGTTATAATTGAATCCTGTCTTAAATCACAAAGATGTTATATGATTATGAAAATAATGAGAAAAGAATTCATTTTCCAGTCAGTTTTTGAAAGGTTACAAATTAGGGGCATAAAGAATACCCGAAGAGCAACTTTCTTAAACTTGTTCATTGCCCTGAATTGTTTGAGCCTGTTGAAGACAACATTGTCAAGAGGTACATCGGGTGCTTCTCCGTCTTCTTTGATCCACGGATGATCTGAAAACCAAAAAAATACTGTTAGCAAAGTTTAATTTCATATCCAATACATAATGTCCAAAGGCTCAGATTTGACTTATAATGCATCATGGGGCTTCGTCATTGGCACCATTAAGGCAATGAGAAGCCAACAGTGCAGATTATTTCAGAAAAGGGAGGAGCTTGACCTTTTTAAGATGGTGAAAAGTTGTAGCTTCCATGCCATTTGATAACAGCTGAAGTGGCTAAGCTAAATGACTTGCTGCTATTTCTGTTTGTGAGTGCCATTAAGTAGGTTGTGAGCTCCTTAATGGCTGAATGACATGTTGAGTTGATTACTATTACCTCTAAATATTTTGTTATATGACAAGATAAAGAGACAAGGCATTCAGTTGAGCCACTTCAGCTGTTGTCAAATGGCTTCTGAGTATTTTGAAACTTGCAGAGTTTCTCCCAGCTTTGGTATAAAGTAGGGTCAAAGAGTAAAGTCAGGAAGTTTCTGAATGATAACCATTGTATTGAAGGCAACATATTAATCATAGTTCACAAGGTGTTTAAGCTTCAATGCCAGAATATGGAGTCAAGGTTACATGAAGTCTATTTATGGAAAGGATCAAGTGTAATTGGTCAAGTACACTTATAGAGAGAGGAATGCCAATCTGAGGCAAGAAGTATCGAAGAAAAAATCGTACTTACTGAGAACTTCAAATGCTGTCAACCTTTGCTTGGGGTCTGAATTGAGCATCTTTCTAACAAGATCCTTTGCTCCAGGCGAAATTGAGGGCCATGGGTCGCTTGAGAAATCGATATGTCCGCGTAAGATGGAATTGAAAATTCCATGCTCTGATTCTGTAAGACCATGTTTTTGTTATATCTTGATCAGTTTGGACATTTATTTTCAATTTCATCTGTGTGTTCTTTTGAAGTGATGAATGTGGTTGTTACAATATGAGATGCAGAAGAGAAAATGAGCCAATAGTGTAAGCAAGAACAGGAAGTACCGGCCCAAAAAGGAGGAACTCCACAGAGAAGAATATACAACATGACTCCTATACTCCATATATCCACTTCTGGTCCATATCTTCTCTTCAAGACTTCAGGTGCAATATAATATGCGCTGCCAACTATATCCCTGAATATCTCACCTGTTACAGCAATTAGACATTGAAGTGCTTAGCTGAGCTGAGCAAGGCATAAGCAAAATCTTGATAGAAATGCTCCTGAACTAAACAAAGGAAAAATCATCCAAGACTAAATATAATTATAACTACTATTGATGACATGTCAATGGGCTGAAGAATAAAAGCAGTGATTTTGCTGATTTTTTTTTTTTTGGGTTTAAGCTCAAGTTACAGGGCTAAGAACATCTGAAGCTATTAGAGACGCCTTTGGTTAAACAGGCTAGAACAATGATGAAAGCTTTTGTGGTTTAACAGCAAATTCTGAAGAGAAAAGTAGAGATCTATTTAGTAGTACTTTCTTACATTAAAAATAGAGGTTTCCTGCATCATCCTAGCCTTATCCCAAGTCCCAACCATATGGGGTCTGCTACATGAATCCTGTTTCGCCAGTCTGCCCTGTTTAATGCCTTCATATGGCTTACACCTCACTAACTCATCCATTTTGGATCTTGTTGTCTATTTCAATGTGGACTATGTTGGCTAACCCAAAAACCACAAATCCACCTCTGGTTTTGCTATTTACCCGGGTCCAACACTAATCTCATGGTGCTCTAAGAAACAAAAGATGATAATGAGATCATCTACCGAATTAAAATGAGTAACGTTGGGCTGGCCAACATACTGCGGAGATCACCTGGTTGCAATCCTTTAGCTACCTAAGGTGATGTTTGGCATTGATGATGATTTTGATGATTTTCCAAAAATCGGTGCCACAGGATTCACATCAGAATTTAACGAATCAGTGATTTTTTTTTCTTGTTTGGTTGGCCGATTTTGCCAATTTATGGGAAATCAGCTAAAAATCGATTAATGAAATCAGCCATTTTCAGGGATCACCTTTTCTGGTGATTTCCTGATTTTTAACTGATTTTGATTTTTTGAGGATGACATGACATCCAATGTGGCATTGAATAATAACTCTAATGCAAAATTAATGCGCCCTTGAAAATCAGTACCAAATAGACTCAAAGCCCATTTCTCAAAAATCAGCTTACATGGCATAAATGATATCAAACAACAATTTTTAATGATTTTTCAAAAATCAATGATTCCATAAATCACTGATTTCTGAATAATTGGCAAGGAGAAATCATCATCAATGCCAAACATCACCTAAGAGTCTTGTAACTTTGACTGATCAAATTTATTGTTCTTGCATGAGGCATATAGAGATTGATTTCCATTTTGTGCATAAAAAGATTGCACAAGAGAATCTGCTTGTTGGAAGAAAACTCCTATATGAAGAATGACTAGTAGTCTCATGTGTACAACTATTTGGAAGAAGAAATTAGGTAACACAAACCCAGTTCGACTACGTATGTACATATATGCATATATGTAGATACATATTTGCATGCATACATGCGTATATACATATATTTTTGGTAAATCATACTACATACATATAAATATACATTTATATCAAATTTTAGTGTGGGATGATTGACTAAATCGAGCCCAGCCCAGGCCTGATCCCAACCCGAGTGTGTTGAATTTCAGTGTGGGCTGGGCCAAGATTGGACAATTTGGGCTTGACCTCAGAGTCGGGCCTTGCCCAATTCTTAGGATTGGGCCTAGGTTGAGTTTAAACCCGGCCCGGCCCACCTGATTTGCACCCCTAAATACAAGTGTACAGAATTCGATCCAATCTCTTATTCTCTAATGCAATTATTATTGGTTAGCTCTATACACAAATGAAGAACAATAGAAAATATAAATAATAAGGTGAAGTTTCTAACCTTGCTTGAAGAAGACAGAGAGACCAAAATCTGTAGCCTTCAGAGGAGCATTCTCATCCTTGCTTAATAGGAGGAAATTTTCTGGCTTTAAATCCCTGTGGACAACTCCCATAGAATGGCAGGTATGAACAATCTGAACAATTGTCCTGAGCAATGAAGCAGCTGCACGTTCAGAGTAATGGCCCTTGGCTATGATCTTGTCAAAGAGCTCTCCTCCAGCGCACAGTTCCATGACCAAATGTACAGAGTGCTTATCCTCATATGCTCCTTTCAATTCAACAATGTTGGGTTGGCCAGCCAAGTGATGCATGATCTGAACCTCCCTCCGAACATCCTCAATGTCCTCTTTGTTAACCAGCTTCCTCTTTGCTATTGTCTTACAAGCAAATTGCTCACCTGTAACTTTGTGGGTACATAGATGTGTGACTCCAAATTGTCCTCGGCCGAGCTCCTTCCCAATTGTGTACACCGTTTTAATATCTTCCATGGGCCGACCCAAGACGGTTCCGATCTGAGACCTGGAACACTTGGAAGCCGTGGTCACAGATGAAGCTCTGGGTGCATTATCTGTTGGGTTTTCTCCATTGGCATCCTGGTTGTCGGCGGGGGTTTCGCCTTTCGCGTCTTTCGCATTTTTGTTTCCATGGGAGAAGCAATTACCCATGGCAAGAGGGAAGGAATGAGGGGACGGTAGCCAGGGAGGGTTTGGGGGGTTGGAGAAGAGATTGTTTGGAGAAGGATAAGCATGTATAGAGAGAGAAAGGAAAGCTCAGGGAGAGAAGGATATGTGGAAAAGGAAAGAAAATAGGTTGGACAATTGAACAATATAGAAAGGGGATAGAATGGATGGTGAGGGATTGTAGGGGAGGGTAAGTTTGAATTGGGTTTGAAAGAGTCATTTGGATTGGAGGTAAAGGGGCTTAGGTAGGGAGGAATTGGCGGGAACTAACCGTTTTTCTTTCCTTTTTGTCTTGTTGGGGCTGACATTAACGGTCATGGAATAAGGGTGTGTTTGAGTCAGGGACCTATTTTTGAGATGGGCTTTCTCTATATTTGTGGAGTGACTTAATTGCCCTTGACAATGTTGGAAAATTCCAACCAAACAAGTTGTTTGCAGAGAATGTATATATTGAGAGTGTTCAAGTAAACCAGAGTCAGTAGAGTTCAATGGTCATGGTGATCACAAATTCAACCCCCAATAAGAAAAATTTACAGGTTAAATGAGTTTCAATATGTGGGGTTCTGAGCATCTACCAGGTTGGTGGGTGACTCAGACTCACCCATCCAATAAGGCAATAACCATTGTATAAGATTTTAGTTGATTTAACGCTCTATACCTACTATGATTCCTCTTCTTGCTAATACGTCTTTAACCAGTAATTTGTTATTAAGTGTGAAGGAAATGACTTGGGGGATGTTTGTTAATGTGAATGATTTTGCTTTCTAAAATAAAAATAACTGTCATGTCAGCAAAACAATACATTTTTGATTAATGATGTTTCACCATTTCCCACACATCCCAATATCCCATATCATCCCTTTTTTGATCACTTTTGGCTGTGAGTAATACCTTCTCCAGGCCCATGAATCATATCTCTTACCGAGTAATAGACTTATTTCCTAACCTTTGTCCAGATATTATTCTTTTTCTTGGATGACTCTCCATCCCAGCTTAACTAATTAGCTGAAATTATCCATTCCATTTTTTTAGACCCACCAACACTAGGTCTCATTTTGCCAAATTCAAGGGTTTTTCTTTTGAAATATTTTTCCCAAAGGAAGTCTTTTTTATTAATATTCTGTTTTTTTTTACCCCCAAAATTTATTCCAGGTGGAGGAGTAGCCACCTTAAAATAATCCATAAAAACAGGAGAGGACGTAGCCCACCTTGTCAGACACGAGATTATTCCCTTGCTCTCGTTGACCCCTCCCAACACAAATATATATATATATATATATATATATATATATATATATATATTAAAATAAGGTAGTGAAGAAATTTTCTCATTTTTTATTTTTTTTTCATGTCATTTTTGAAACAACTAATGAGATGCGCTTTCTCAGAACCTAAATAATCTCTTCTCCTAAAATTTCTCCTAAACTACCTCCCCCAYTATCTTCTAAATTATCTCTAATTCCTATTTATCTCCAAAATTATTTCTAATTTAGTAGAGAGTTTCTCTTCTAAATTATCTCTAATTTCTATTTATCTTTTAAATTATCTCTTATTCCTATTTATCTCCAAAATTATCTATAATTTAGTAGAGTTTCTCTCCTAAACTATCTTTAATTCCTATTTATCCTCTCCCCTACTTTTTATGCATATTTATCTAAAGAAAGTTTGGATTAAAAAATTTAAGAATTATTTAAATATCCTAACAAAATTATATAATAACTTTAAAATATTTATTAAAAACACAAAAAATAATTTTATATTTTTACAAAATATATCACAAAATTATGTACTAACAATTTAAATTATGTTTTTTCGGATTATCAATTTCAATGTTTTTCAAATATTTAATAATATGTAATATCTTAAATAAATAAAATTCAAATAACAAAAAAATTTTAAATATTTTATAGATTATTTAAATATTTATCATAACTAGATTTTAAATAGTTAAAATAATGGAAATATGTAATAAATTTAAAAAAATTCTTCAAAGTAGAAAAATAATTATAACATAATATTGAAATTAATGATAATTTAATATATTACAAAATTAATAATGAAATTATGTAATAATAGTATAAATTATGATTTTATGGATAATTAAATTCAATAAATACTTAATATTTTAAAATTTAAATATTTTACATATTATTTAAGTATTTAAATAACTAAATATTAAAAAAAAACAAAATATTTAACATAACTAGATTTTAAATAGTTAAAATAAAGAAATTATATAATAAATTTTAAAATGTTCTGAAAAGCAGAAAAATAATTATAACATGATATTGAAATTAATAATAATTTAATATTTTTACATAATATTGTAAATAACTAATTTCACTTATATCAAGTAATAATTCAAGAAAATAACTTTCAAAAAAATTAATATTTATTAATAATAATTTTAAACCCTTAATCTATATTTATTATATAATTATATATACTAAAATTAATATTTATTGTATTTTAATAATTATTTATTGTTTCTGTGATAAATGTATTTTCAATGATTATGTATAAATTTATTTATTTTTGTTATTTAACAGAAAACTTTCAATGATTATTGGAGATTAAACCACTATTTTGAATTTTTTAAATTTAATTTATTGTATTTTTGTTATAATTTATTGATTAATTAATATTTATTAGAGATTAAACTATTTATTGACTATGTTAATATATTTTTAATACTTATTGTATTTTTGTAATTATTGTATTTTTTCATTATCAATATATTTTCAATAATTGTGTGTTTTTGCTATAAATTTTCAATAATTATTGGAGATTAAACTTTTGTTATTTATCAGAGATAAGACTATTAATTTAGCTAAAATTATGAGTATTCATGAATTAGTTCGATTCGGCCATAGGCTATTTGGCCAACCAAATTGACCGGGTCAGGTTAGGGAGTTGATCAGCTAAAACCACCTGACCTTTTGTGAAAACCGACCCACTCAAATTGTATTAGTTTGGGTTGATTTTCACAAAATGTTTATTGGTTCAAAAGGTTTAAACTTAAAATTAAATTTAATTTTAAAAATTGTAGTGAAATTATTAAAAAAATTAGATTTATGAAATAAAACATTTTAAACTAAGAAACATAGAAAAATTTTCACTTTTTCATATTAAAAATTATTTAAAATATAAAATATTAAATATATATCCACAGTTAGGTTGTTCGGTTTTGGTTAGTTTACAAATGGTCAAAGTGACTCTGATCCAAGTTGGTCGAATTGGGAATTTTTTGAACCAAAGCCAACATAAAATACTAAAACACCGACCAACTCAAGTCGAGTTAATTGGGTTGGTTGGTTGGTATGATAAGTTTGATGAATAAAATTAACTGAAATTAATTATTGTTATTTTGTATTATAAAAAATCTATTAAAAATAGTATATAAAATATGAATAATTATTAATTATTTAAAAAGTTGAAAATATACAACAATTATATACTCTTATGTGTTTCTATTAGAGTCATTTACTAGAACACACCTTATAGTTTTACATATTTATTTAAACCTACCTTATAGTTTTCATTTTACTAAAACATCCCATATATTTTATAACTTATTTACTTAATCAACCTTTCATTAAAGAGTATTTGTTTTGCCATTAGGCCCATGATTTTTTATTCCAAAAATACCCTTAATACTTTTTTTTTGTACATAAAACAAAATTGATCAAATATAGCCAATAAAGTGGTTGTCCATGTCTTATTAAGGGCAAAAATAGTATTTTATTTTCTTTTAGTTAAATTTATTTAAATGAACATTAAGGTCAACGCTATCGTTTTCCACTGTCATCTAATGAAAGATTGATTAAATCCATTGCAAATTATAAGTAGTGATCTAGTAAAATACTAACTATAGGGTAGATTTTAGTAAATCCATGAAACTATAAGGGGATATTTTAGTAAATAACCATTTCTATTATTTAGTTTTCGCTTAATAAATCTTGTATATCACACGGGTCCTCACTAGTTAATTAATTAATACGAAGTGTGGGAAGATCAAAATAGTCATGCATAAGAGTCGACAGACCCATAGAGAAAATGGATACAAACTTGAAAACCATGAAAGAGCCCTCGTTAATTGCCTTTGTTTGCCAAGAAGTCAGCACAACGATTCCCTTCCCGCAAAGTGTGAGAGAGAAATATCCAGAGTTAAGGAAAAGGTGTATTTTTTTCATCGTGTAAGACGCTGACCAGGGGAAAGGAGTCAAATCTTTTATAACATTGATGAGAAATGTGTAGTCAATCTGCACCTCTATGCTAAGAAAGCCATAGTCAAAACAGATTTGAAAGGGACAAGACTTCAACTTGAATTGAAGTAGCAAAATCATAGATGTAAAAGGAACCCCATGGCGTTTCTAACCCATAGTTGAAGTCTTTTTTATAGGTATTCTATTGTTTTCAATAGGGATTCTAAGGTTACCAGTTAGGTGTTTCTAGAGTCTCAGTAAATTTTTGGTCACCAGAGTAAAATCAAGTTGGCAGCTCACTCAGTTCTGTCACCGCACGGCTGCTTTAGAAAGTGTATTCAAGTTGGCAGCCATAACACTCTCTCTCTCTCTCTCAATGATGTAGCCAAACGAAGATCCCCAGGTTGGCTACACTACAGATAGAAAAAATTTACAAATGGCGGGGGTCCCAGCTAACTCAACCTTTTGACAGTCCTTACTGGAGTATAGCCTTTTGATCTGGTACAATTTGACATGAAACGACTGGTTCACCATCCTGGCCAAGATAAATAAATAACAGACCCTGAATATAGAAGCTCAACACAGAAAGAAAAACTAAAAGGTGAAGGCATTAACTCAAAAACAACTTGATACATACAATGTAATTCTCTTGTGGTCGGTTGTTGGACGGGGCAATTAATCCATCTTAGTAAGTAGGAATGGAGGCATCTGCCTTAACTGCATATGCATGAATTCCCCCAGACACATTGAATACCCTCTTGAAGCCCTGAACAAATGAAACAATATCGGTCAAAAGAGATTACACTTTATGCAAAACCAGTGTAGATAACTTATATTTCGTTATCAAGTGCATGTGTACAACCTTGTAACCAAATAAAACTTTTTAACGTTATTCATTATCATAGGCAAAAATCAAAAAGCATCACAATTTCTTAGGTTGACAAGGAACTCGACCAAGTCTGTCATATAATGATTTTGAGAAGCTTAATAGCAATATATGTTGCACCGAAAAGAAGACGATACCAAATAAGATGGTAAAATTACACATTGTTAAAAAATACTCGTGAATGTTTCAGTTGCACCACTCTGCTACCATTTTTTCAGTAACTGAAAAAATTTATTAATGATGCCATATGTACGGTGTATATTAATACATAATATGTATAAACTCTGTGATGTACAACTCCATATGGAAGATGCCATATAGCTTCCCCTTTGCTCCTAGTAGAGCCCCTCAAGAACAACAACACCAGAAGTTTTTATTGCAAAAGGCATTCCAAGTACTGCCTGTCTGTTGACATAATCATGGGCTAGTGAGTAAGCAAGTGTTGCTAGCAGATTGAGGTACCTAGGGAAAGATGCATCCAGACCAACTGTCAAATGTCTTATTTCCCTAATTTGGTGTCTCAGGTTTCATGGACCCACCATGTCACCCTTCAGCCATGATAATAAGTCTTTGAGTCCCTCTCTATCACCACTTTGAAAACCATAAGTGGTTATAAATCCTTGAAGTGCAGCTTGTTGTTCTGTTTGTGTGGAGTTGCCCTGTCCTATATTATTGGTCCTGAAAAGGTCAATTGGATTTTCCTATTGGTGTCTCTAAAAGCACCCCTATGCCTGATTCTCCAAGATTTCCTAAGATTAAAACCATCAAAATCAACCTAGAGGGGTGCAACTTGGGCGGGCTTGGGTTGAGCATTTCTTAAAATTTGAATGGGCTCAGCCTGAGGGCCCATGCCTGATGTAGTGTAAATTCTTCAAATCAGTTACCTGACTTGCACCACTAATATTAGGTCTAGTGCTTTCAGTAGAAGTAGATGCCACTCCTATGATCATCTCATTAGTTTTGAGTTGACTAGACTTCCTAGATGTACTAGTGCAGCATGGTTATCCTAGATTTCTTCAATACATTGTTTTTAAAATGTTTCAAAACAGTGCACCTGCTTAAAGGTCCAGCTACTTTGAATAGATGGATAAAATAAAAAAATTACGCCCTCCTTTCTTGACTCTTTCAGCCACAAACACTACACCTAGACAGGAAATGTGAAAGCAACCAAAAGAAGGTCTAGGGCCATTATGGACCAGAAAATAATAAATACTCAACAAATAGGAATATATTTAGGAGATTTCTTTTCTTATTTTCATTTTTCAAAAAATTAGGGGGTTTCTTTTGTTTTTGTAGAAAATTTTGATATATACCCTCTATGTTTATCTATGTAAAGGCATATAGCTACTGTGCAGTCAGAAACAAGCTGAGAATGCACCTAAGCATAAAAGGAGTTACAAGCTCTATCTATTCAGCTACACTTTCATTGTTTGCCAGTTTGTTTTGTTTACGTGATGTGCTGCCATTTTGGCAGTTTTTGGATTTGATGGGCAATAATGCATGGCCCAAAATTTCCACTTTGTCAAGGTTCACATTTTCTGTAAAGCCATAAGTCCTTGCCCTCAAGCTTTTATTAAGTAATCAAATTGTTTCCAGCTTACCCTTTCCATTGAAAGATTTTTATGCTACACACGAGAGCACATGTAGAAAACATGAAAGCAGTAGGTGTCTCTATCAACACCAGCGGCCTGGTCTGACTTTAAAGCCATGATTGACTAGGCTAGGCCAGGCTATTTATTAAATCACAGTTTTTTCCAGACCCATTCTTTTTGTTGTATCAAATACTTAGAAAATTGCCTGACCCAGCTGATTGCTGCTTGAAGTGAACCATTATCTGTGTCAAAATAACAGATTCTAAGAAGAACAAATGGCCTTAGACATGCAATGAACACACTATAAAAAACAACATATACTGTTAAAGGATAGCAGTTTACCTGTGTCTGCAACCAATTAGCAACCTGTAATGACCGCACTCCATGGTGGCACTACAAATAAAACAAATAACAACAGTCATGCTTAAGACAGTGATAATAAAGAACCATCTCCAAATCAGGGGTATATGTTATCTAATCAGAAACCCAGATACAAAACTTGATAGGTTCCACTTTGGCTACCTATGCCAGAAAAAGAACCTTTACAGATGATCAGAAGTCATCTGCCAACTGACTTTGTTCAAAGCCTGATAAAATATTTTGCCATCTGATCAGATTGATTTTGGTGCATGGTACCTCTCATTAGGTGTCCATAGAATGGTGTCATAAGTTGCAAAATTCCCAATAGTTGACCAATCAATCCAGTAGTTCCCATCTAAAATATCAGATTACATATTACACATCTTAAATTCTTATTTTTTGCATTAGGAAGTACAATTTAATGTATGTAAGAAACAAACTTAACACTGAAAGGCCAATGGATACATCAAAACAATGGGTCCAATGTTTAAAAGGAAATTAATAATTTAATGCACATGAATTCCTTAAATTTTGTATTAACTATAACATAAATCTAAATTCAGGAATATATCAATAAAAAAATCTAAAATCAGGAATAAAATCTCTTTCCACACATAAAAAGAAAAAAAAAAAGAAACAGACCATTCTCTTTCTCTGGGGAAATGTTTACTTACTAAAACATATGTATCCTTGCTGGGATCAAACTTAGTTGTTATTTCTGGACTCCAACTTCCAAACTGCTGAAGGGGAAGAACCTGAAAACCTGGCAAGGAGGCTTGGGCACTGTTCTCACCAAACAACTAAAGAAGTAAATACACAGAAACAGAAAACAGTAGCATGTGAAAAAAAACGGATAAATGCTCATAATTGGCCCAAATAATGAATTACCATTGTTGTTAAATCCCAGAAATTTCCAATTTATGAAGTGTGAAAATCTCTAGATTCTTTTCTTTTTGCTTTTGCCTTGAGTGGTGGTATTGAAAAATATTGGTTGCTATCTTATAATTCCCAATTTATTAAGATAATCAGTTTCAATCAAGTTAATAAGTTTAACAGTAATTGGAAGAGATCATTGACGCTCTTTTTTTTTTAATTTTTGAAAAGCATTTTTTTTGCATTAATTTGCCTGAGAATTGTCAGCAGTATATAGTACAATTTCAAGACCCATGTACAGTGAGCAACTATACAAGGGGTAGCTGAATCCCACCCCTAAGCCTTTACTAAAGCATTACAAGTCATCTTTGCCCAAAAGGTGACCAATATGCAAATTGTTCCAAGCATCCTTCTATAAAGAATAGACAAGGTAATGTCTAGAAGAAGGAAAGTGGATCTAGAAGAAGAAACTAATTTTGGAAAGATATGGATAGAAGTGCAAGAGAGTGGCAAAAGTTCTTGTGGGAGAGGAGACAGGAAAAAGTTAGCTATGTAGAGAACTTGGTAGTTGAATGCTGGAATTTAAAAGGCTATTAGAGAGATAGCTAGGCTGGAGGGTTGATCATACAGTGGTCCCCTGGTGTTTGAACCAATTCATGAGGGAGGAAAGAATCTGCATATCCATAATAAATATCTCATCCAGATAGATAGTGATGTTTGCCAACTTAATGTTTGACAGCAGACAGTCTTTCCAAGGGAGAGATTGGGAGGAGTGAGTTGTACTGGACAACTTCCTTATCAGGTTAATGCTATTTTTCAGAGTGCTATTGTAATTTGTTTTGTCTGCCTTTGAGGCCTCCAGGCTCCAAATCCTTCTTGGTGTTATAGAGTAATTTATTTTTTGTGCCACCATTCTTTTCTTACTAGATTGTATGTTACTGGAAAAAAGTAAGTAGTGAAAAGAAACGTTTGAAAAACTATCAGGGAGTTACAAGATAAGAAATTTTTGACTGATATAAAAGTGACAAGAATATAAAAAAGAAATCTGTAATCAAGGCCAAGGAAAACAATTTACAGATTTGTTTCGTTTCATAGGATAAATGGTTCTACATAGGGTTTTTTTGACCTGTGAGGAGACCACTGTTCCATGACTGACAGAATAAAGAAAACTATAAAAATTGCAGCATACTTTTTCCTCTTAGAGTCAGAGTAGGAAGGTCTTAGGTAACTTCTTGAAAGCTAGATTTATGCAGGGATGTCATATATTCTTAATGTTTCAAAATAAGTTGGAATCAAACAAGTCGTATTGAGTGTACTATAAAGGGTATAAATGGGAACTAGTTAAATGACCAAGAACACTGAAAGACATCCACCCTGAATTCCTTAGATACCAACTGACAACACGCAAGTTCCATTGATAATTAAATCCTTCCCAAGTTCCACCAATATCATAAATTACTACTTCTTCTATAAACCCTCTCCCCCCACAAAAAAGACAGACGCAAAGAATAAAAACTAAAAAAGATAAACATTTGGGAAATTCACTTTCACTTTTTTTAACTTAAAGACCAATTATCCCATATTGAAGATGTTCAGTACTCTTGCAATTTTTAGCAGAAAAGTAAAATTTGCATGCTTACACTTCTTCAGGTTCTCGAACATCTATCAATTGAGCCTCGTTAAAGAAAATTGGATCTTGCATTTTCACATAAAGATCATTTGGATCAATGTCTTGAAGCAAAAGTTCCTCTCTAGAAGCAGTAATTGCCCCATGCAAGCACACAGAGGATAAAAAGAATTAGCACTTGCATATTTATGAATATCAAGTAGAATATTACATTGATGGCTTCTCAGACATACTTCTCAGACAATACTTGAAACAAGTGATATCCAAATTTAGTCTTGCACTGTACAACTTTGTTTAAAGGTGCACTAAATGCAGCCTCTTCAAACTCAGGTACCTGGTTACAATTCACCAAGAAAAATCCATCATATAAGCATTGGTTATAATATGTTAAAAGCGAGAAACCTGTGGAGACAAAAATGAAATATTGTACTGGGGTCCTTCCATATAATTTGCTTTTAGAAGATTGAGAAATTAAGGGATCAGGCGTGATGCTCCTTCCAATTTTGTACTGGGTCTTCAGAGTGGAAGTGAGTAGGTCCTTCCATTCAAAGGACTTGTGCAAAAAATCACTAAATTATATGGTTACAGATATTGATCCATTGTCCAGGCATGGTGAATGGTTCGGGTGCAAAAGGTTAAGAGGTTACCATGTTAGATATCGACAGAGTTGTGTTGCCTCTCATAATGGTTGGCAAAATACTTCTTTTCTGCTATGCAGAAGCAGTTGGAATGGTAATTAAACAGTGTATTAGAGGGTGGAATAGTTTTGAAAAGTTCCTGATAGTCTGAAGAGTGGTAAAGCAGCTTGAAGATACATCCTGCATTACCAAACAGGGTTCAATAGCCTTTCCTTATGACACCATCACATGTCTACATGCCAAATCTATATCAGATGAGAATTGATGCAGGAAGGTGTGAGTCTGAATAGACACATAAAAGCTAGTTGAGTCCACAATGATAATGCCCAACCAATCATGATCTCCACAGTCACACGGTCCACTACTGATTTACCTTCTTTCTTGAGTTTGGGAACTTTGCCCATATGATTTTGTACTAGACTTCTATACATTAATACAAAAGTAAAAGAATAAAAAAGAGAGAAAAGAAAAAAAAAAGAAAAGAAAAGCACATAGAAATCTTGAAGGTTTCTGAGGTGCAGCATGACATTTTAATATAAAGAATTTTTAGAACTTCTAAATTTGAGCATACCATTTGTCCTTTCCGCACCCAACCAAGGATCCCTCCATTTTCTTTGGATGGACAAATTGAGTGTTCTGCAGCCAACTCACTCAAATCCGTTCCTAAATGGAAAAATACAATAACATTTTACTCAGCAGCATCAAGGCAACTGGAGTTCTGTAAACTTCAATCTTATCATCATGGAACTTCATCCATTAAGGCGCTTATAAATGTAGAGCAAATTTAATCTAAATATATCTCTATTTTCATCTCTTATGTATATACCATTAATAACTTTCTTTGTACAATAGCATACTCTTGCATACATCCTTTCTATATCGCAAACATACAAAAATCAAACTATGTTAAAATGCTAGTTCATGATAATATGTAAAAGATAACTCTATTAACATGCACGTGTTAAAGGCTTCCAGAATTGCCATGCCAGAAGCCTCTTGCCAGCTTATCAACCCAAAATCATTTTGTTACCTTCTTAGAAAGGAAATAAGAAACATTTATTTCTAAAATCAATCAATCTGAGTATTTAACAATATTAATCTATAATTATCAGATAACAAAAAGGAAAAACAAAACAATCAGATGTATGATTATAGAGATTTTTAAGAGCTAACCTCCTGATATTCTTTCCTGAAACTCTGGAAGAAGCTTCTGGTTGTCTTCACTAACAAGCAAGTGCTGGACCAGTATTTCCCTACCACCTAAATTGTTCACAGAACCGAATGTAGCTGAGCAAGACAGATAAAAAAGAGATAACAGACTATCAAATGAAAATAAGAAGAAAGAACAAGAATGAAAAAAAAAAAACTATACTTGCACAATTCACTCAGGAACATAAAAAGAAAATTTCTTCAATTTAAATACACGAAAATCTCCAAATTAAAAAAGATTGTAATACACAAAAACAGGTTACTGAGGTTAGCATCTGGTGAAGTTCTGAAAAATCCAAAATACTAGTCACTCTAAACCCTACCACTATAACTGAGCAATTCAGTAAAGTCGAAAGAAAGCTCATCAATGAAATTAGGCAAAAATGGCTGCAGTTAGTGAAGAAAAAAAGGCGAAAATCCTCAATATTCCGTCCATGTTAATGGGAGGAAAATATTTCCAAAAAGATAGAAAAAGCAGTAAAGATAAAAAAAAGGTTCTCCTTTAAGAGACAGAGCTTCAACGCAAAATAACAATTGAGCAGCAAAATAAAGTTAAAAAAACCTGGACATGGTGGGCTTTACTCAAATAGCTAACCATTTATTGCAAAACGAGAGAAACCCATCTGAAAATTCTCACACAAAATTAACGTGAGAAGGGCAGAATATTAATCATTAAAAATAAAAGGAAAATCGATAAAACGAAACTGCTTCATACTCAAGTAGTCCCTGGAAGAGAAAACAATAAAACAAATGGACTTCACTTTTAAACCGTCACCATTCCTTAAAAAGTTAGAATTTTCTCTTGGAATATTACAATTTAAAAGAAAAAAAAAAGAACACAAGGTCTCAAACTTCCAACTGAAATACAACAGAAGAATGGGAACGATAATCAGAACATATTCAACACAAAACAACTGAATGAGAAAACAAATATAGTAGAAAAGAGTATTTCAAACCAGAACACTAAACCATTCAATTGCAGAGGAAAAACATCAGTTAAGACCGACTTCATCTCACCAAGGAACCAACCAATGTACAAGAAAGAGGATTGTGTTTGAACAGACTTTACCGACCTCTTCGTTCTAATCTTGAACTGGGCACCATTGAAAAGAGAAAGTGATGTGGGTAATAAAATCTCTGGGAGGAAATGCCAGCAATGAACCAAATGAGAGAAGCCTGTGAAGGTTCAAACTTCAAAGCCGATGAAACAAAGGTTGAGAGAGGAAATTAAAGAGAGTCACGACTGCAGAGAACCGGAGGCCTTGGGAAATAAGAAGCTCTTAACGTCTGGATGAGGGCGGATTTGGCCTCCAATGTCTTAGCCAAGTTGATGGTGTCATCCGGAACCATTTATGCAACAACTTGTCTTAGCCAAGTTGATGGTGTCCCACTTGGCAGCATGGCCCAGGCACGACCTGGCGGCCTAGCATAGGCGCCAACTTGGCAGCCTACAAGACGCGTTCGCCGACAAATTCGGCATGCATATCCAAACACTCCCACGATCCTTGGAAGTTGGCCCACATGCCGAACGATCCGGAGGGTGGTCAACGTGCATGGCAGTTACCTTAAGGAATCTCGGACCACTTAAACGACTTCTTGGAAATCTCGGATGCGGTGCGTGAAGCCCACGCCAAACTATGCCTATATAAAGACACCAACTCCAATGGCATAGGGGGGGGGGCAACTAAGCATATTCTAGCTCTCATACTTTATGATTTTTAGCTCGCAGTCTACTATGAGAGTACTAACTTAAGCATCGGAGCGACCTCGTCGGGTTAGCCACCCCAGGTCCTCTGACGTTGATTCCTTGTAGGTCTCTAAAGAACTACGAAGCTCAACAATCAATCCAGCTCGCCACTAGGCAGCTCGACAACTAATAGGCAGCTAGGACCGACCGGATCGCGCATCATCACGTCTCATTAAGCCCGACGATCCGTACTTCTGGCCCGACGTGTGCTACTGCTGAATGTTGAGGGGTCTCCTACCTCCATGAGTAAAGACTCCGTCCTGGCTCATGAAAGCTTAGCAGTTAGCAACTTAACACCTTTCATGCCATTATTTGGCAACAGATGAGCTGCAAGCCTACAAGGCTACAACCAACCGGTATGAAAATTTTCTGTCCCCTCCAATTGAAAATCGCCATGCCACCTTTTATACCTAAAAGGCTAAAACTTAAATTTAAACGAGTTTCAGATTTACAAAGGGTATGTTTGGAACCGTGACCGTTTTTAGAAAAAAACGGTGCCACATCGGATCCACATAGGAGTTTCAACAAATGGAAAAATCTATGATGGAAAAGATAAGGTAAAGAAAGAGTTTGACCAATCAAAGCCCATCCATGAATTTTGATAAATAACACCTAATTCACTACCACGTTTATAATTCCAATTGATTGGTCAAATGCTTTTTAAGATATCATATCTTTTCCATATCATAGTCCAACTCTTCAACAAACACCCATGTATCTCATTGTTTGGTTCAACCAATTAATTTGGTGTTTCATGCATCGGTGGGGTCCCAATTTTCCAGACATGCCCGGTTTTTTAATAATCGGTTGAACCAAACAATGAGATACATGGGTGTTTGTTGAAACGCGTATGTGAATCTGACATGGCACCATTTTTTTGAAAAACGGTCGCGGTTCTAAACATCCCCTTGACGACTGTCTGGACTCCAAATATCATTTTAATTTTAGGCTCTGTTTGGTTTGTGGGATGGGGATGAAAAAAAGGGAATATTTTAAAAATATTCCTCTTTCTCTCATTCGTTTTGAGGGAAAGAGAGGGATGAGATGAGAAAATTTTGGGATGTTAATCCCAAAATCGTGGACTTGGGGTCGCACTAAAATCATGCGACCCTGGTGGAAAAAATTGAGAAAGAGGAGGAGTAAGGAACGACTTGTATGGAGAATACAGAAGCAGGAGCTAGTTCGGTGACAGAGACATTCAAACCTAGAAGCAGGAGTTGGAGGGGTCGCACCAAAACCATCAACAATCTGCTACCTCTGCTTCCCTGTTCGAACCCAGAAGCAGGAGCTGGTTTAGTGAGATTTCACCAACGGCTCTGGTACTCTGGTGTACTTCTTCCCTCGTCGCCAATAGAGACATTCGACAAAGGACTAACGAACGGAGAAGAGGATGGAGGGAGAAGGAGAGGAATATGCGAGTACGATTTAGAAATGAAGAGAGATGGGGGTTAGGTCTGCTGCTACCTGTTAGTCCAAAGGTAGGGGATGATGAACAATCACTCCACTTCCTCCTTTTTCTTCTTCTTCCGAATAGGAAAATTAGGTTTCTCTTTAGTCCAAATAGTCTGCTGCTACTTGTTAGTTTGAACTACTATTTCAGGCGGCACTGTCCGAAGGTAGGAGATGATGAACAGTGCTTTTTCCATTATTTTCCCAAATATAAAACCAAACAATGGAAGCGTAAATTTTTACACTTTCCCATTCCACCCAAATCTTCCCACAAACCAAACGGAGCCTTATTAACCTGCCCAACCCCCCTCTCTCTTACCCACTTACTTCTTTCTCCTCCTCCTCCCCTCTCTCCCTTTCTCTCTCTCTCTCCCAGTTTACCATTTACCCTCCCACTTCTCTACAGGTGAACCCGCCCAACCCCTCTCTCTCTAATCCATAAAAAAATAATGAAAAAGTTAACATAAATTAAAAAATAGATAAAAATTGAAAATATGTTAAAATTTTGTTTTATATGAATTTTGATGTATAAAATTGTTTATATATGCAATAATAAAATGAAATAATATAATAAAATTATATATTATTTAATTATTGTATATAATATACGTCCTAAGCCCGCACGGGCCTGTGCCGTGCTGCGGGCAAAGTCTTAGAACACGCTAGGTCACAAACCAGGCTAAGCCATGTTTTTTAAAAATTTTGAAAAAAATAATGAAAAATTTAACATAAATTAAAATAAATAGACCAAAAAATAATAAAAAAAGATCTTAAAATTTTAGTTTATATGAATTTTGATGTATACAATTGAAAATAAAATTATATATATTATATAAATATTATCGGGTCACGAATCAGGCGAAGCCATGTTTTTATAAACTAAAAAATAGATAAAAATTTAAAAAAGATCTAAAAATTTTATTGTATATGAATT